TGTGTGTGTGTGTGTGTGTGTGTGTGTGTGTGTGTGTGAGAAAGAGAGTTTTAAAGAAAAGAGAGAATAAAGAAAATGTGTCAGACTGCTGTGGTGTCAAATGCCTGTAATCCCAGCACTTAGGAGGCTGAGGCAGGAGGATCGCCATGAATTCAAGGCCAGCCTGGGCTACACAGGAGACCCTGCCTCAACCCACCCCCAAGGAAAACAACCTGCAGTGCCATGGTAACTGTTGTGTACTCGGTGTGTGGCTGTGTATAAGTGTGTACACATGCAGTACGTGCCCCTGCCCCTGCCCCTGCATGACATATCTAAGTGTACACATGGCTATTTATTCAACATTTACTGGGTACCCACTGTAGTTTTATTTTTGTGTCTTTTTGCTGTATCGGAGATTGAACCCAGGATCTCACGTTGAGCTCCTTTTTTCTTTTTCTAATACTAAGTCTCTCTAAGTTGCCCAGGCTGAGCTCAGACTTGCGATCCTCCTACTTCAGCCTCCTGAGCAGCTGGGATCACAACACCAACTGGCTTTTCAATTCTGGCATTCATGAGGCTGTGTGTTCAGCTGGTCCTATCTATTTGAACCCACGCCTGCCCATGTGGAAACGTGAACTTGGGGCTCCTAACCCCGGGGAGACATTCTCTGCAGATATTCCTCCCACTCCATGCCCGACTCTGCCTGTGCCTTGGAGGGTCCCTCCTCATGTTGGGGGGGGGGTGAAGTTAGGGGCTCAGGGCTCTGGGTTGAGGACGATTTGGGGGCCCACTCTGACCCTGGGGTTACTGGACATGTCTGCTACCAGGCTGACCTAGGTCCTGGTGAGGCTGCCCCACTGGGGCAATGGAGGAGCCAGGAAGTTCCTGGGGACCTGGGACGCGCCTTGGCTGGGGGTGACGCTGGAGGACGCCGAGGTTCCATTCTTGGAGGAAGATGTGGGAGACACCGGGGAAGGAGGGAAAGTGGACGAAAGAAAGTCCGGACTCCCCACTTCTGGAAGGATCCAGGAGGCGACTCTCATCAGAGAGGCCGGGGCCCGCGCGCTGAAGAAACCATGCAAAGCCACATCTGCTCGGCGTGAGCATCAGCTCCGGGTTTATTTCCAGCCCCCCTCCCAGGCTCGGCCCTGCTTCCTCAGCCCCCCAAGCCCCTCCGCGGCGCCCCCAGGCTCAGGAGGCCATCTGCAGGCGGCAGCAGCGCACTGCGGTCCAGTCCATGCGGGCGCACTGGCAGTGACACGTGGTCTGGGCGCGCACGTCCCAGGAGCCACAGCCCATGCCACAGGCGCAGCTGGTGACCGCGAAGCCTGCGGGAAATCGGGAGGCGGAGGCGCGCTAGGGACCGGGAGCCGCATGTGGGCACCGGGCTGGGAGACCGGATACACCAGGGGCCAAAGGAAATGGGACCCCTGAGCTGGGAAAGGGGGGAGGCTGGGGCTCGAGTCTGGGCACGGAGGAGATTTGCACTCACCTGCGGGACAGGTGGCCAGGTCCCCCGTGGAGGTGACGCTTCTGCAGTCCAGGTCTGCCTTCTCGAGAGCCTCTAAAACTGAAGGGGGCGGGACGGGACCACCTGTTGGGACCAAGCTGCCCCCTCACCTTCCCGTGCCCCAGGGGCCCCCCTGGTGCTTGCAGATAGGCAGAGGATCACAGGTTTCCCTGTAGCCAGGTGCGTGGCGCACGCCTGCGATCCCAGCGCTCTGGGAGGCTGAGGCAGGGAGATTGTAACTTAGAGCCTTAGTGAGACCCTGTTTCAAAATAAAGGTTCTCCTTTATTTTCCCCTTTATTTTTAAGGTCCCCCTCCCCCGGGGATTTAGCTCAGTGGTTCCACCACCTGCCTTGCAAGCACAAGGTCCGGAGTTCGATCCCCAGTACCAAGAAAGAAAGAAAGAAAGAAAGAAAGAAAGAAAGAAAGAAAGAAAGAAAGAAAGAAAGAAAGAAAGAAAGGAAGGAAGGAAGGTTCCCTTGGGGAAGACCTGGTGGGGACCCAGCACCCCCAGGACCCCTGCCTTGATCTGGGTGTTTTTGAGGAGGACGAGGTTTGGGCTGAGGGGTGGGTGGGGTGGGTGGAAGTTGGGCTGAGTTTGGGCTTGGGCTCAGGATGGGGCTGGAAGGGCTGGGTGAGGCTCGGAAGCAAGCGGCTGGGGCGGGTGCGGCGGAGGCCTGGTGAGCGGCCGGGCCGGGGTGGGGCCAGCGAGCCCCTGGGACCTCGCAGGGTCCTCACTTAGGGAGCTGGTTTGCTCTTTGATCTTCCGATCGATGGCTTCGTCCATGGAACACAGTGACCCTCGGGACACCAGCAGCCCCAGGGCGAGGAGGAGGAGGGAGACAGCCTTCATGGTGCAGGTGCTGCCAGAGGGAACAGGAGGTCCACCTCTGGGTTAGGCTCTGACCGTGCGTGCGGGCGCCCGCGGTCCTGGGGATGAAGGTGGGGCCCCCGCCCCGCCCCTAGGCCCTGGGCTGGGGCTCGGGCCAGGCAGGGAAGGTTCTCACTCACCCACTCGGAACTCGCGAGACCCAGGCCACTCTGGGGCGCAAATCCCTGTTGCTCTGCCTGGAGGCCTCTGGGTCGGGTCTGAACTTCCTGCCACGCTAATAAGCGCCTTGGCCCTGGCCCGGCCTGCCTGCCCACATCGGGGGCCAAGAGGGGCCTACAGCCCCCTCGCTGGTTGCTGCAATAAACCCTCTCCAGATGCCCGCCGCATCCGCTCGGGGGCGGTGCCCCGAGGTCGGCCAGGGGCTGCGGTCTGAGGAACAGGCAGAGAAACAAGGGTTCGCATTCAGGGGCGCAGTGCAGACCTGGTGACACAATGTCCCCACCGCAACGAGCCTGGGACGTCCGGTTCATGCCCAACGCCCCTGCCAGCAGTGAGTGGCTCCATCCTGATTAGCAAGAGAAATTGGCAGACCAGGCCCGTAGTCCAGGCCGAGCCGGTTCCTGTGGCGACGAGGTAAGAGAGGAGGAAATACAGTGGACCTTCGAGTTACTTGGGTTACGACTGGAATTTTAGTTTTTAACTAACGACCAGAGTCTTGAGTTAAGACCCAAGTGCCGGCTGCTTGTGCTTCCAGATGGTCTCAGATACAGATTTAACTCTTAAAGAGTTCCAGAAGGAACATGGCAGCATCCTTTTTCCTTTGTGGGGTTCGCCGAGAAATCCTGGGCCAGTGTCTCTCTAAGGACACTGAAATTGGCCTGCATGTTTTTACTTTTTTTTTTTTAATGAATTTATTTTATTTTATCCCATTCCCCCTTCAAGGCCCCTCCCCTCCCTATGTACAGAAGCTTTGTTTCCATTTTTCCTTCTATTTTCCCTTTTTTCTTGGCCCTTCCCTCCTTCCTCCCTCCCTCCTCCCCTGTTCCCCTTCCACTTGAACACTTTCTTCCCATTTCCCAACATCTATTACAGATCTCAGTCCTTATTTCCACATCTAATTTCTTACAACACAGAAACAATGTGGTATTTAAACATGTGTCGAATTTATTTCACTTAAGAGTATGTTCTCAGGCCGGGGATTTAGCTCAGTGGCATTGCGCTTGCCTCCCAAGCCCAAGGTCCTGAGTTCGATCCCTGGTACCAACAAAAAAAACAAGAGTGTGTTCTCAAGGTCCATCCATTTAGCTATGAATGCCTGAAGTTTATCCTTCTTTATGGCAGAGTAGTATTCCATTGTATATAAAACCACATCTTCTTTACCTACTCATCAGTTGATAGGCATTTGGGCTGTTTCCAAGATTTAGCTATTACAAACTGTGCTGCTATAAACATGGGTGTACATATATTGCTGCAGCATGATGCTTTGAATTCTTTTGAGAAGATAGCAAGAAGTATAGCTGGGTCAAATGGAACTTCTAGTTTTGGTTTTTTGAGCAGTCTTCACATTGATTTCCACAGTGCTTGCACCAGTCTACACTCCCACCAGCAATGAAAAGCATTCCTTTCTCCCCACAGCCCTGCCAGCATTTGTTGTTGGTTGATTTCATGATAGCAGCCATTCTTTCTGGGGTGAGGTGGAATCTCAGCGTTGTTTTCATCTGCATCTCTCGAATGACCAGGGATGTTCAACATTTTTTCATATATTTATTTGCCATTTCTAATTCTTTATCTGAGAAATGTCTTTTTATTTCAGATGCCCGTTTTTGCACTGGGACTTTGAATTGGGGGGATCTGATTTTTTTGAGTTCTTTATAGATTCTAGATAATAGTCCTTTATCTGAATAGCTGGAAGAAAAAATTTTTTTCTCATTCTGTGGGTTGTCTCTTCACTCTGTTGGTTGTTTCCCTTGCTGTGCAGAAGCTTTTTAATAAGATGGGGTCCTGCTTGTCGATTTTTTGTGTATTTCCTGTGCAGTCTGGGTTTTGCTCATGAAGTCTTTGGCTACTCCCATGTCCTCAAGCATTTTGCCTATTCTCTCTTCCAGCAGATCCAGTGTTTCTGTTTTAATACTCAGAGCTTTGATCCATTTCAATTTTAGGTTAGTGCCTGATGAAAGATATGGGTCTAGTTTCAATCTTCAGCATGTACAAAGCCAGTTTTTCCAGCACCGTTTATTAAAGAGTCTATCTTTCTTCCAGTGAAGGTGTTTGGCTCCTTTGTCAAAGATGAGGTGGTTGAGTGTGTCTGGAGTTGTTTCTGCATCCTCTAGTCTGTTCCATTGATCCTCAGGTCTGTTTCTTTGCCAGTACCATGCTCTTTTTAGCACAATGGCTTTGTAGTATAATTTAAAGTCAGGGACTGTAATACTCCCTGCTTTGCCTTTGTTGCCCAATATTGCTTTTGCTGTTCTACATCCCTTCTGGTTCCAAATAAATTTTAGGGTTGTTTTTTCTAATTCTATGAGATATGCTGTCGGGATTTTGATTGGGATTGCATTGAATCTGTATAACAATTTTGGAAGTATGGACAATTTCACTATATTGGTTCTTCCCATCCAAGAACAAAGGAGATTTTTCCATTTTCTGATATCCTCTTCTACCTCATTTCTCAGAGTACTCTAGTTTTCAATGCAGAGGCCTTTTACTTCCTTCATTAGATTGATTCCTAGGTAGTTCATTTTTTTGGATGCTATTGTTAAAAAAGGATTGTTTCTCTAACCTCTAGGAGAGAGACTTTGAAGGCTGTGCAGAGGAGCTTGAGCCTTCATAACCAACTTGAGTTACAACCAGCCCTCGGGAACAAATTGAGTTCATAAGTCAAGGGTCTGCTGTATTATTTTTATTTGTTTGTTAGTTTCCAACACCATGATTTGACTGTTGCTGCTATTGTTTTTTGGTACCAGAAATCAAACTCAGGGCCTCACTACACTGGATTTTTATAGTAATAAAATACACTTGGCATAAAATTGACCCTGTTTAAGACTACAATTCATGGATGTTAAGGACATTCATGTTGTTCTGCAACCATCACCACCATCCATCTCTGAAATTTTTTTTTTTTAGACAGGCTTTCGCTGTGTAGCCCAGGCTGCCCTTGAATTCATGATGATCCCTCTGCCTCAGCCCCTCCAGTGCTGGGATCACAGGCATTCAGCCCCACCCCAGCCACGCATGTTTTACTGACAGTGATCTAGGGGTATGAGATCCCTGTGTGAAGGCAGCAAGGGCCAAGGGTCCAAAGTGGGGATGCCATGCATTGTGCACCTACTATGTGCTGTGCTAACCCCTGTGTGTGCAGCAGGGAGTGTAAAGCCCTTGTCTGCCAGGTGAGGACAGACACCACTAGAATGCTTGAGCAGCCTCAGATATACTCCTGCCCAGAAGGAGAACCTGGTCCAGGGGAACTTCCAGCCTAGCTATCTGGCCCTTCACAGGATGAATCCAGGAAGGATTTTTTGGGAGAGATGGATGAGGATGGAAGCAAAGCCAGAGTTTATTTGGAAAACAAGCCAAGGAGGGCATTCTGGGGGTAGACACAGCATGTCCCAAGGTCCTGAGGCAGATTGGAGAGCACTGATTTTTGAGAGACTGAAAATGAACTAATAAGACAGGAAGATAGGGAGCCTGGTTGGGAGAAATGAATTCCACAGGTGCCCCTCTTGTCTGGAACTTACAGGAGGTTTGGGGCTCATTTTCTTGTCCCCCTCCCCCCTCCCTGAGTCCCACCTCATCCCTTCACCTGGAAGACCCTCAGGCACAGCCTAGAAACAAAGTATTTTGCAAGAAAAAAAAAATCTTTTAGGAGGCTGGGTGGGTGGCCCTGTCCCAGAGCACTTACTCAGAGTGCACAAGCCCTGCCTTGCATCCCTTCTACCGCAAAAACAAAAGTTTTAATTTTTAGATTATTTTTGAGAACTTTGATTTTTTAAAAGTCTTTAGCCTGAGAACTTTCCCAATAAAAGCTTTTGAAGGTTACAGAAGAAATGAACAGCTCTGAGCAAGGTGCCGTGTGGAACCTCTAGAGTTCCATAGGAATCCAATTTGAAAACCCTTGAGGTGGCAGAAAGAAAGAGCCACATAGCCCTTATTTCTCTTTTGTATTTTTTTGCTTTTGTTTGTGGTCCCGGGGATCCAACTCAGGACCTTGTGCTTGCAAGGCAGGTGCGATGCCACTGAGCTAAATCCCCAGCCCCCTTATTTCTCTTTTTAAGACTAAAGTCCTTTTATTTCCCCTATTTCTACTAGTAAAAAATAAGCTCTACTGAGCTCAATTTCACATCTAATGCTGTCAAAGAAAATCCTAGAAACAACAGAATAATCTCATGTTTATACTTTTTAAATCAGTTTTATGGAAATACAATTTACGTATAATACGCCTTTCTGAAGTGCTTGGTTTGATGCATTTTAACAAAGACATAGATAAAGATATATACGGTTATAGATGATGTAGATCTAGATATATTTGCCTCTTGTATGTTTTGTTTTTCCAAAGCAGAGTTTAAAATAGAGAAATACAGATATAGATTTGGATATAGATTATCTGCCTGCTGTATGAATGTTTTATTTTTCCTAAGGAGGGTTTATCTACATCAAGTTTTATTGTGTCATTTACAGAGTAAAATTCTGCACACAGTTATATAACCATTGCCATCCGATGCTCCTTTTTTATTTTTATGGGTCCGTGTTGGCAGGACACAATGATTACCTTCCTTGTGGCGGTTGGTACATGTATATAACATATTAATTCTTTTTTCACCCCCTTCCTGATGCTCTCTCCCCCTTTCTCCTTCTCTTGGTACCCTTCTCATTTGCAAAAGCCAACGTTTATCATTTAAATGACAATTGCGAGAAACAGGAGTTTCTAAAAGCCCCCAAAGGAAAAAGTCTGTCTCATGAAGCCACATAGGATTTTTCTGCCTCATCCAACTGGTTTTCTTTATGAATATTCACAACTGTCACCAGCTTATTCTCCTCCTGTTAATATGCTTCTGTCCTGGAAATCTAATTTGAACAAAGAGGACTTGCGTCAGTCACTCAAAGTCTAGAAACTGCTGCCATCCTCTGACGAAATCCAGGCTTCCGATTGCCTGCCTGACTAGATGCTAACTTGCTGCCCTGGAGATGAGGTGGGGGTGACAGAGGTCTGTAGCAAATCAGAAAAGGATCCCTGACACTGCTTTCTCTCCAGTGAGAATGATGGAAAACAACAGTCAAAGCCTTATCTATATGCAGGAAACTGAAGCCAGACCCATATCTTTCACCTTGTACTAAACTAAAATCTAAATGGAGCAAAGAT